TATCGTCGTCCTCACCACCACCATCATCATCGTCATCATAACTAACGGTATTGCAATACTCAGGAGCGTTCCGATGGAAGCTCCTGGCAATCTCCTCCGTTGTTACGACGGCCGAGACGGGATGACCATTCCCCATGGGTTTTCCCATCGTTACGATATCCGGAATGACATCTTGATGATGATGATAATAAGAAAAGTCAAGATGGCGATGGCGAAGATGAAATGACCATTTATATCACCACGATCATCATCATCATCATCAGAAGAAGAAGAACTAATAGTACTGAAGTACTCAGTGGCATTGAAACAACCATTTATAACCCCTTTCACCGTCATCTTCACCCCAAAACAAACAAAAACGACCTTCGCCTTGAAGCTGGAAGGCCCACCAATGTGAACCCACCCTTCCGAACCCCGTCTGAACTTCATCCGCCACACAAACACCCCCTGCGTCCCTAACGTACCTGGATCATAAACAGACACACACAAATGTATGAATTTTTAAATCAATATTTTGACAGTGTAGTGGTCAAGATGCTTGGCGCTACTGCCGCAGGGACCGGGTTCAAATGCAAAGGCAACGCGCATGCACTGTGTATTTGTTGTTGTTGATACTTATGAAAAATTGAGAAAAAATATTAGAGCCAGGAGTTATTACACAGAAGGATATAACATCATGATATCGTTTGTAAGATACACATAAGGAAAAAAATAACATTACTAACTGGTAGACATATTTCAGATAATTCTTTGGGGGAAGGATCTGCCCCCCACAGCTTTGTAGGGACTCTGCAAAAAAGGCGGCCACACGTCTGCCTTCGGAGGGCAGTCTTTCTAAAACCTGCCTAACTTCATCTGCGTACAATTTGCCCAAATCGTAGTCGGGATGTGATTGGTCGGTGTATTTGCCTCTGTAGACGTCTGGGGTGGGTACCTGTTGGTTGTCGTGGCGGGGTAGGTATCTAAAAAGTGAAATATCATTCTAAAAACTCCCACTCCCAGAAAACTTACAACATGGACCCAGGATTTCTTGACTCCCTTGTGATTGAATTTGTACGGACTCAAATCCATTGCGCTGATGACATGGCCATGGTATGCACTATGTCGATTTAAAATTTTCACAAATACACCAAATTAACCACATTATGATAATAATAATTAACCACTTAATTTGATAATAGGAATTAATTATTTGTGAATTATTACTGATCAAGGACAATAGCATCCTTGTTTCTTGTGTGTGCTCGAGCCAATCGCAGAGCCAAGTCATTTGCTTCTGACCTTAAATAATCAGGAAACAAATCACATGCTTTTCATATTTTTTAATAAATAATATTAAAAACATCCACAAACACACACACACAAAACCACACTTTTACACATACATATACACACACATAACTCACACATTCACACACACATGCACACACAAATCAAACCTAACCCGGAATTAACAAAAAAACAGACAGATAGTTTGGATGGTAATGTGGAGACTAGTTTTTGTGCAAGTCTTACGATGTTATCGTGAAGGAATCGATTGTTCGTGTTCAGTTCTGCCATCTGCTTGCTCCCTGCTTCCACAACAGCTGCATGTGAGTGGCCAACTGTTTTAAGGTAGTTAGTGACTAAAAATGTTTATTCATTAAATGAGCAAATTTGTTCACAATTTGGTTGATTGCTATGTCTAATATTACTATAACTCAGGCATTTGTAGTTATTTGTTTAAAAAAATTTACAAATGAAATTAAATTAAAATTAAATTCAAATGAATATTTGACATTAATATTTTGAAAACTTCTTAGCATAGTTAAGATTTCTAAAAATAAGAGTAATTTTTAAATTTGGTGAATGGTATGATATGATTGCACTGTAAATCTGATAAATAAATGATGGTGTATTTCAAATAAATCCCATACCCACCATGGGCCACATTATTTATGCAATCCAGGTACTGATCCCCCTTCTCATCAAACAGGTACTGCCCCCTCCCCTTTACAATCTTCAGTGGGTTTGATCTGAAAAACAGCTGACAGGATGACCTGGTTAGTTCAGTCAAAAAATTCAATTGGAAATTTTAAATTAACATTTATTTTGTGATAACATATTTTTTTATAAATAATATTAAATACATCCACACACACACACACAAAACCACACTCATAAACGTACATATACACAAACATAACTCACACACACATATACACACAAATCAAACATATTATACACATAATAACATTTACACAGTGAAACTAATTAACAGTCATTAATGAAGATTCTCGTGATGAAAAATCAAAATAACATCAAAAATAGAAAGTAAAGGTTCAATAAATGGTAGCAGTAATGATACATTTTAGATTTTATTTTTTTTTAGATTTTATTATTTCTGATTTTTCCAAGCCAACTGCCTCCCTGTACCTACCCAATGTGTTTGTTTCGAAGAGATATCGTCTCAGCTTTTGAAAGTGCAGCTTCAGTTATTTTTGAGGCCATAACAACTTACCTAAAAAATGGCTACTGAATTAATTATTGTTAATTAATTAATATTATCTAGTGTTGTTATTGATGACACTCGATTGCAATCAGCTGTTAACAAAGTTTACTTTTTGCACAACATGTTTCAAAAAGTGAACCTTGAGCCATAGATTCACAAATTCGTCTATCCCCACTTTTAACTTATATATAGACATTATACACACTTATATATATATAGAATATCACTATATATATAAAGATATTTTATATATATGAATATAACATATTCTTTATTATAAATATTATGTCCATTATTATTATATATTCTATATATATATAACTTTATACATCTCCAAAAATGAATGATTTTCAAACTGTCCGAAAGCTAAAAATCAACACGGTTTTCGTAACAACTTTTATTATTTTTATACAAATATGTGACAAAATAATGTGACCGTATACCTCAGGCAGTCGAAAATGGTGATAAAAATAAGTTCTATTGGGCAACAAATCATACTAGGCCAGTATCTATGGAATCATGCACATAAAAATATATAAAAGATGCGTTGTAATGTCATAAAAATAATACAAAATGTCCATAAATGTTGACGAAATATTGTAGCTCTTCAGAGATTGACTCGGAATTTTATAAAGCATTAATCACGGACTTCACCAGAAACTTGAGACAAAGAAGAAAAGATTTTTGTGAAGATATGTGTCGATCCTTTTTTCGTTTTAGCCGCCGCATTCGTGCTTTCTTTTAATTTTTCTTTTTTCGTGTGAATAACTTCGAATGAGATAAAATTTTTGTTATAATTGTCGTCGTCATCTGTTTCCGCTTGAACAAAAGTATTTACGTGACAACTGTTGTCGTTGTTTTTTTCTTTAATGATTTTTTCCAGGTGCAGTTGAATGGCTTGACCAATTATTTCTGCGTCTACTTTGTTCGGTGACAATTCGCCGTAATTATTTGGTTTAGCAGGTCGAATGTAATTAGCATCAACTCCATCATCATCTCTGGCTACAACATCAACACTGACATCTTCGTCTATTTTTTTATTTATTTTATTATTTCTCAAAGTTATTAGTTTGGCATTTCGTGCGGACGAGTTTGCGCTCGTGTATTCCACATCAGAAGCGCCTGTCTTATCGGCACTTGAATTTGAAGAGCCCATTTTAGAACACTGGTTGACGTTTCCGGCAGTTCTCATTTCCGTTGTTTTCTTTTCAGAAATCGGAGACGGATGACAGCTTGAATTCTGATTGAAGTTATTAACATGTTCATGTTCATCAACATCTTCTTCGTTGTTGTTACTAACTGATTTGATGGTGTTGTAGAGGAAAGACATGCGTCTTGAAGAGTTAAGTTCAAATTCAACACCACTGCACTCGTTGTCCAATGTTTTTCCACGTGTCAGTCGTGCCAGCATACTTCTGCATAATTGGAAAGAATTTATTAAATCATTCAAATTGTATTCAAGAAACAAATTACAAATCATTTTATCATCGAGTTTAGACATCTTTTTTTTAACTTAACCGCTTAACGTCAAAATCAGAAACAGAAAATGTGAGCATTGTTGATTGAGAAACAAAAACCCCACAAATCTGACCTTCTAATCTGATGTTCTTCAATAATAGCCATGAGATCTTCGTTCGAACAAACAACTCCGTCGCTCCCACTACTCACGTTTCTTGCACGTGAGTTGTCCGTGATGTCATCACTTATGGATCTTCGCCGGAAGACGGATCGAGCCATCTGAACATCTACGGAGCCACCGACACGGTGCAACTTTTTATTCTTCTTCAGACCACTTTTCATGTTTCCTTTCGTGCTGGTGTTGTTATTGTTGTTGTTAATGTTGCCGAAGTTGTTGCTGGCGTTTGTTGTTGCGTTGTTTGCGAGTGCACTGCTAGGACTTAATATGCTCGTGATTGAGTTTTTCTTCTTCGAACTGTTTCTCTTATTCAAGAATATTTTATCGATGCTGGACCTGAATAAACTTTTCTCCTGCTTGCCATCCTTGCTCCCCCTACTACCACTGCTGCTGTTGTTTAAATCGAATTCATTCCTAAACAAAGACGCCATGAGACTGCTAGATTCAGACTTCGTTCGCTGACGATAGTACAGTAGTTGTTGCTGCTGCTGTTGATGCTGGTGAAGCTGTCGTTGGAAGAGAATTTGATCGCTGCTGATTGTGCGCAGTGGGTACTGCTGCGTGTGTCGTCGCTGGTGGCCACGCAAGAAGCCAGCACTAGAGCAGCTGTGGTCACTGGTGTAAAATTGGTGGTACACCTGTTGAAGTTTCTGCAGGCGGGCTTCAAACTCTTCCACAGCTTTCTGCCTACGTTCCTGGATTATGATCGCCATCTGTGGCCATTCCGTGGAAGCCTGTTTGATGATGATGATGATGACGATGACGAGGATGGTAATGATGATGATGAAGATGATGATGAATGATGATGATGGTGGTGTGATGACGATGATGGTGATGATGAGGAGAATGATGAAGAAAATGACAATAATATTCCATGAATAGTTTGTTAGTCATAAGGATAATTAAAAAAGTACAAAGAAAAGAAGAAATCGTTGTTTAGGGATAACATTTTTGACGTTGAAAATTACGATGGAGACGCAAATAACGATAATGACGTCATGTAATTGTAATTCAAATATTAACAATAACACACAGTGACACGTGTTTCAAATAACAAAACGGTTGTGTTGCTATAAATTTCACTTCAATTTAATGCCCAATGTGCATTATACAATAATGTTTAACAATAAAAGTAGTTGTTGTTATTATTATTTTATTATTATTATTATTGTTGTTGTTGTTGTTGTTGTTGTTATTGTTGTTGTTGTTGTTGTTGGCATTTAATAATATTTTGTAGTTGTAGTAGCGGATTATTTAATTTTATTTTTGAAACTCTTATTTAAAAAAACGTCGATTCGATCGAAAATGATATGGCGAAAATTGAAATTTTTTAAAAATTCTTCTTAAACGATATGAAAAAAATATTCTTTCACGATTAATTTATATTTATTGCAATGAAACAGACGCACAAAAAAACAACAAAGAAATGAGAACAACAAAGTAACAAAGAACAACAAAAAGGAAAAAATTTTATACGTCTGCTAAAACAAATTGCTTAATTAATCTATTTCTTTGTAAAAAAAAAATGGTGGAATAAATAAATGAAACCGAAAGCTTTTAGACTCAGGCAAATTATAACAAAAGACACAAAATAAAATTTAACAAAATTATCACAAAAAATTATAAAACCGATAACAAAAGATAATAAAAAAAAAACAATAACAATAGATAACAAAAAATAAGGTAGAAATGTTCGATCTCACACACAATTCAACATTCTTTGTAAAGGTTGAATCGTTCGGTTGATTTTTTTAAAGTATTGAAAAATTTCAACAATAGCATGGAAAAATCAAAAACTTAACAACAACAACAACAGCAACAATATTAATACCACCACCACTAACAACAACAACAGCAGCAACAAAAACAAAAATAATGGTAATAATAAACACACCTCCATGACTTTCTCCCTGATCTTATCCTTAACTTTATTAAAAAGTATGGAAGGGGAGCTGGGTGTTCGGTTGAATGACTTGACACTGTTCGGACTTGGTGTAGGGCACGGAGAATGATCCAGAGCTGTTGTCGATTCATTGTTGTTGTTGTTGTTGTTTGCTGACGTCATCGATGCCAGTGGCGTTGTTGCAGATGACGTCGAAGAAGGCTTCCTTTTTTGATAACAGCTAGCGCCACTGCAGCCGCTAATACTACCACTTGAAAAATTTGTTGTTGTCTTGAAATTTGTTGTGAACATGTTTCTGTTGTTGTTGTTGTTGTTGATGTTGAAAGTGTTCTGTGCGTGTCTCTTGAATGAATTTCGATTAAATATGCTCCAGCTGTGACCAGCGCATTCGTTTTTGTTCGGGGGTCTCTCATTCATGTCGTTGACGTCATCGTCATCGTTGTGGTTGTCGCTGGAGTAGTTCTTGACAGATGAAGATGACGACAAAGAGGATGTTGTTGTTTTAGGAAATTTCATTTTGTAGTTAGGGACGCTTGTGGCTGCTTGCGAAAAGCGTCGTACATCGCTAATTGGATTGAAATGTGTTGTCGTAGTTGAGTGTCGCATTGTTTGTTTCTGCAGCTGGTCTCGCTGCTGTTGTTGAAGTTGCTGTTCATGCTGCTGTTGCTGCTGATGCAGTTGCAAGCAGCAAAAATACTGTGGCTGGCTGTGGCAATGATATTGTTGCTGCTGAAAGCGTTGTAACTTATCTAGACTAGGTTGTTGTTGCGGTTGTTGTTGTGATTGATGACAATAATGTGGCTGTTGTTGTAACATGATTTGGTGGCAGTCGCATGAATGTTGTTGGTAAAGATAATGAGAAGGAAGAGGAAGAAGCTGGAATGGGAGTAGGGAAGATGACGGCACGGACTGACTTCTTTTATATTCTTTTCTTCTTCTAGATGCTGGCTTGTGCATCGTTACTACAGTTGCTGATGTTGTTGATGTTGTTGCTGTTGATGTAGTTAATGTTGTTGATGTATTGTTGTTGATGCTTTGTTGATGACAATGTTTTGTTGATAAAGTGTTGATGTTAAAAAGTGAATTTTTGTTAAGTTGCCGCGGTTGTTTTATACTATCACAATCTCTATTTAAAAATTCTCTTCTTTGCTAACATACCTAATTAATGTATTTATATTTTAAGTTAGTTAATAATATTAATAATAACAATAATAATAATAATAATAATAATAATAATAATAGTAACAGCAACAACAACAATAATAATAATAATAACAGCAAAAACAACTACCACTATTACCTACTATTGCTGCTATTGTTATATTGATGTGATTGATGATGCCAGCAAATTTCTAACTATTTACTGTAGTAGTTGATGGGTTATTTATGTATACAGGTATAAATAGAGTTTTTACACATGTGTTACGAAGTATTTTATTCTCAAACATCAACTAATTTATATTCCAATGTGTTTAAGTATTGCTTGGATAAATGCTCGTATATGAATGTATGTATGTATAAATGTATGTATAAATTTATGCATGTATGTATGTATGTATGTATTATTATTATTATTATTATTATCATTAAAATTTATGAAGCGCTTATTAAAAATAATAGTGTTAATTTTTCAAAAGCGCTATCCTATAATTAACAGAAATAGCTGAAAAAGTAGATAAAATAAACCACAAATAAATCAGTTCACAGTTATTGATTAAATAAATGAGTCTTCAAATTCTTCCTAAAGTTTTCAATTGCTGAATCGCACACCCTCAACGACCGTGGCAAACCATTCCATACAACCGCCCCCGACATTGCAATATTTCTTGCTCCTATCTGCAAACGAAAAACAGGCACAACCATCAAATTATCATCATCAGATCTTAGACTTGTGCCAATACGCAAATTTGATCTCTTCTTATTGAACTTGCATGTCAAATATTCTGGCGTAAATCCATTTAAAACCTTGTACATTACCATACAGATTTTATATATTATCCTTTTATTGGCAGTTAGCCAATGTAGGTTCCTCAAAATTGGCGTAACGCGATCAAATTTAGCACCACCTGCAACAATTTTAGCAGCTCTATTCTGGATGGACTGAAGCATCACAATCGATCTGTTCGGTAAACCATAAAACAAGCTATTGCAATAGTCCAAACGTGCATTAATGACTGTAATGTTGATTTGTTCAATGATTTTTTAACTCGATTCAATCTTTGCAGTTGGAATGAACATGTCTTCACAATTGTTTTTATATGATCATTCATAGTTAGTTTGGTGTCAAAAATACACCCCAAGTTTGTAGCCCTATGGCAAAACTGAACATTTTCATTTTGTATTATAACTGAATTAATACCAACCCTTGATAACTGCTGCCAGGTGCCTATAGGAAGAAACTGGGACTTGCACTGATTTAACTTCAGATAATTACACGACATCCAAACATCCAATTTATTCAAACATTCGGTAAGCTTGTTAATTTCAAAATGGAAGGTATCAGGTTTACTACTTAAAATTATCTGAATGTCATCTGCGAAAGCATGGTATTTAAAACCAAATGACTCGATAACTCCATAAAGATCAGCTGTATATAATAAGAACAAAATAGGTCCAAGCACAGAACCCTGTGGTACACCGGAGGAGACCGGTTTTATATTTGATAAATTATTTTTATAAGAGACTTGTTCTGTTCTTCCAGAAAGATAAGACTTAAATCAATCAATCACCGTGCCCGAAATCCCAAAATCGTTGTTCATTCTCTCCAACAAAATACCATGATCTACACAATCAAATGCTGCAGACATATCCAAAAACGTCAACAGAGAAACATTTTGCTCATCAATAGCAGCATATATTTCTGATAAAACATATAACAAAGCAGTTTCCGTAGAATGGTAACGTCTATATCCAGACTGGTAGAGAGGAATCAATTTATATTTATCTAAGTGTTTTAACAAACTTTTTGCAACGACGCGTTCGATGACTTTCGACACAAAACACAAGTTTGAAACTGGTCGGTAATTTCTTAGATCACTCCTATCTGCATTATTTTTTTTCAAAATTGGGAGAACAATTGCATGCTTACAACGAGCAGGAAACGCACTAGTTGACGCACATGTATGTATGTTAAAACCAAATCATTGACGAATGACACCAAAAGCCAAGCGTCTGACTAAATTTGATTTTATTTGCTATTATATGTATGTATGTATGTATGTATGTATGTATGTATGTATGTATGTATGTATGTATGTATGTATGTATGTTTGTTTGTTTGTTTGTTTGTATGTATTTATGTATGTTTGTATGTATGTATGCATGTATGTATGTACGAATCATCATCATCACTAACATCATCATCGTGAAAATGGAAAGATTTGTACGATCATCATGCTTCTTAATGTACAGCACAACATGCAACATAAATAAAACCAACGCTTCAAAATGTCAGACAGAGAACATGCAATTCATTCATTCATTCGTTCGTTCGTTCGTTCGTTCATTCGTTCGTTCGTTCGTTCATTCGTTCGTTCGTTCGTTCGTTCGTTTGTTCATACATTCATTCATTCGTTCGTTCGTTCATTCATTCACTCATTCACTCATTTCTTCATTCAATAACTCACTCACTCATTCATTCAATCTCAAACAACAGCAGGAGCAGCAAACAGTATCTAACCTAAATGAATTAATGAATTAATGCGATCCTCTCAGTATAGCACAAAATCAGGATTGCTAATAAGTGTAACATTACATTACGTAATGTAACGTAACTTAATGTAACGTAACTTAATGTAACGTAATTTAATGTAATATAATTTAATGTAACAGAATGTATTGATGTAATTTACTTGATGTAGTTAAACTTATTGTAGAGTAACTATATTAAACTATGTAACACACGTAAAATCAAAATAAAACAACATCAAAAACATCATCAACAACAACATCAACAACAACAACAATATCGTAACATTAAATTACTTTAACATTAAGAACAACAACAACATTAACACTAACAATACATTCTCGTTATCCATTCCATTACATTACAACTACACACAACTGCAGTGGAAAACAGAGCTTTACGATACGCTTCTCTTCTATTTATACTCACATATATACACGTGTACGTACATACATACATTCGTATGAGTAATTGTATGTGTGTGTGTGTGTGTATGTGTGTGTGTGTGTGTGTGTGTGTGTGTGTGTGTGTGTGTGTGTGTGTGTGTGTGTGTGTGTGTGTGTGTGTGTTAGCAAATGTATTAATGCGTTTATATACAAAAGGCATGTGTAAAAGATGTATGGTAAACACCCTGGTTACGTTTGTACATTCGGGGTACAATTTTTGTATGTACATTATATATGTATTCATGGTGTACGTACATACAGTGCGTACAATATACCCAAGCTACATACAACTAGATGTACGTACATACGTATGATCAGGTTGTACAATTTACGTGAATTTCTATCTGGATGTAGGTTAGTATGCAGGATGTATGCAATTTTTCATCATTTATTAACTTTCGCTTTTTAAATTGTAATTTTTTTTTCCATTCATTCGTTCATTTATTCATTAATTTATCATTATTATCATTAATTCATACATACATACATTCATACATTCATTCATTCATGCATTCATTCATTCATTCATCAGTTTGTTAGCCCACTTATACATTTCCTTTTAAACAACTTTTAAAACATTTTTAAAGTTCAACACCTTTTATGTTGCTTGTTTGGGTCGATTGAAGAACGAATAAATTTAATAGTTATGGAAAAGGTCAATCTTTTTCCATGTTTCTCTCCAAACTACATTTTAAATTAGATATCTCAATCATGGTAACATCATCATATAACTTTGTGTTACTGTGTAAAGATGCTATATTTATTTGAGAATACAAATTTAGTCAACATTAGAAAAAAATTGGTTACATCATTAGTTCTTATAAATTTTCATGCTTGTGGCAAAACGTTTGTTGAAAATCTTAACGAAAATCTCTATGTTCACATACTAAAAACTTGATTTTTCATCCTACCCTAACTAAAAAATTTCTTTGTGAAGTAGTGGGTTGGGTTTCAAACTAAAGTAAGAAAAGATCTAAAGAAGGAGCTACCTCAATAAATTGAGACAAAAAACTAACTTTGGACAGGTTAAGAAATATTGAAAACATTGTAAAAAAAAGTGTTCTAAGAAACAAATACAGGTCATTTCCTTGGGCGTGCGAGGTTCGACGATAAAAAATAGCTACCCTATTGAGTCTGAAAATTGAAAATTTGAAAAATGTTAGAGGCTTCTCTGTCTAGAATCACTAATCACACTTCTAAACCCGATTACTATTAAACATTTTGCTGCAAAATAAGGCAATGAATACGACTTTCAGTTTAAGTGCTTCAAATATTTTATTTAATGAAAAAAATTTTAAATGTGCGAGTGTATGCATGTGCAGCCCTTAAGTCTCTTCTCTACCTACCTCCCACTCTGCTACTTCTTTTCTAAATAAACAACACCAACAACAACAACGGAAACAACAACAACAACAAAACTCTTCGAAGGGAACGTTTTAATGGGCAAAAATATCCATTATGGATAAAAACTATCCATACATCCATTATGAAAAACATCCGAAATCGCGAGGACGAATTAAAAATTGAAAAAAATTGAAAATAATGAAAATATAAATAAATTAGTTGAAAAACGCACGATACAAAAAAATTTAACAAAACCATAAGCAAAACCTTTAAAATAAACCCAACAAAAACGTCAAAAATACCCATATATTCATTAAAAAATACAGAACACGTTAATACAAACAAACCGATAAAAAGAAGACAAGGGTTGATTTACGCCAGGCAAGACACCAGAGGTCACTTCGAATAATTTACACAAACAATACACATGTTTAGATGCAAAGTGATTTAATACCAAATTACCATTACATCATTTTTAT